TTAGTGTTATAAAGCAGCGTATCAATTTCCTATTTCATATGTTACCAGAAAAACACAAAAATGGCAATATCATTAGCTTGTGTAGGGAGCCCACCGACCTTAGTATCGCAGTAAGCTCCATAGTAGTCGTAGACAAAGAATTCAATTAGATTTTGATCGGTTTCGATTTTCGTTCCGAACAATTAGGGGCTAAACTGTTGCCTTGGCCCTCAGAACTTCAAAAATTGGTGGTTCTATAATAACAATGAATAGGAGTTACAGTTCGATGGCTCCGTAACCTTAGATAAATGCCCAGCGAGCGGGTGAACTGATTGTAAGTTTGAACACTACTGAATGGTATTGTACTGCGCCCCTGTATTAAAGGAAGCATTCCATCTTTTCATCGTAGAAAACTTTTGCCTTTTCGGCATTACAAATAGAAAATGATTCATTCGCCTGATTCATGTGAGACTATTCTCTCTTTTTCTTACAAGGGGATCCAGTCAATTACAAAATAAGGAAACAGGAGCAACCCTTGAAATGAAACATTCCCAACTTTCCTGACCGTGAGAAACTCGTCCAAATGTTATGTTCTTATTTGTCGTCCTTTTACAGGTTGGTTTTGGACAAATTACATGTTCTTTGGTTCCTTATGTGCTACTTTACAGTAGTGGCTTACAGTAATAGCAACTTGTAAGAGCCAAAGTGAGGAAAGCTTATTTATTCGATTCAGTTGTAAAAATCTATGTTAAGGATGCATTTATTAAACCATCTACATAAAGCACTATTATTGTTTATTCGGGTAGACTAGCCAGTCGATCCACTCACAAGCTTTACAGACGGTAGTTCAGAGTCTTAGCCTGGGTCAGAGTAGCCTGGGTCAATATGGGTCAATACTGGAGCTTTAATAAAAAATCCGTTCTAGTAATTTGTCTAATCAATAAAGTCGAACAAAAGTGCATCAGAAGCAGCTAGTAAACATATGTTAAAGCCTTTGGTCTTGCTGAACCTCTCACGAAGTTCCTAAGTTGGCTTTTTTCAGTTAACAAATTCTGTACAAAAGTGATCTCGGAACTACTGAATGGATGTTCTGTTCTGTTCATGTGATACTTGTACCGTAATGAAGCCATTGAGTTGAAATTGAGGAAAGAATTTGATTTTTTGTCCCTGGCTTATGTTAGCTGTGTGTTGAGAACATTCGTCTGGAGAATTACTGCAATAAACACAAATGTCAAGCATATCAAGTTCAAACAACACTACCAACAAGAAACTTCATGAGAGAATTCCTGCTGTATTGCGAAACTTATGCATGCCACTAATATTAATAATAATAATGATAATAATAACATTAATAATAATAATAATAATAATAATAATAATAATAATAATAATAATAACAGCAATAATAATAGTAATGACTTGCGGTGGGATATTTTATTTTCTAATTTTTTTTTATATTTCATGTTTATATATATTTTTTTATTTTAATTTTTCATCTTTATATTTTTTCATTTTTAATTTAAAAATTTTACTTGCGAAATTTGAGCGGCTATGTTCAGCCCCATCAATTGAGTACAAGTCTGGAACCAATTAACCGACCTGGAGGGATGGGATTCTTGGTTGGCTTAGGCGAATGTCAATCAGAAATAATAATAGTAACAATAATAATATAATAACTATATAATAATATGAATATAATAAATACACAATTGTATAGTAATATAGTAATAATGCAATATAATAATAATAGTAATAATAATAATAATATTGATAATAATAATAATAATAATATAATTTAACATCATTATTATACTATAATAATATAACAATACTATAAAAATTTATATCTTAGTAATAATAATATTATCATAATAGTAATAATAATATCCATCTAATATCTTTCCACCCTTTCCACCCTGTTCACACTCTCCTCTGGCACCGAATGCGCAGGGGTACTGGCACAACATCTTTCAGCAACAAAGTAGTAAAAATCGTTTGTAATGTTTTTTATTTTCTATAAATACAGGAAAGCTGGCAGTTCAAGGATCAATCTCCTGGTGTTGGTAACAGGTGATTTGAAAATTTCAAGTCCCGCATTCCGATTCGTCGAGCGGAATTTGAACGACTATGTCCTGTCCCATCAATTAAGCCAATTTGGTCAGTTTTTCCGTTGAAACGTACCAAACGATGACTTTCTCAGGAGTATACTGACAAAAGATTCGTTGAAATTACTGCATTTTTCGATGTTATTCTTACTCGTCCTTGTCCATGCGATCTTTGCTGCCAGCTGTTGTGTAAGGTGAAGAGGATGGGAATAGAACACCCACGCTCACGCTCCGTGACTCCAATACACACATGAGCGGAGGATTCCTCATGAGATTTTGGCTCCATTGACCTCATATAATCTAATCCGAAATCTTCCAGATGTTTTTTTTTGACAACTTTATTAGTGCCGGAAGACATGTCCAATCACAATCACAAGTAATTACTGAAATATATATCGATCGATTGCAAAATTCGATTTCTCTTCATATGGGGATGTTTCAACTTCCTCGTCACTATTCGTTTCGCATTACTGGCGACTTTTTTCGCAAAACATTTTTATATTGATCTCATTACTGTTTCCGCTGAGTGTTCAGGCAAATCCGACTATGTCAGAACGAGAAGTAGCCTTTGAAAAGGCCCGTGCACTCAGTGACGAAGACAAAGCAGATGAAGCTCTGAGTGTGTTATCAAGGTTGGTTGGCTATGTGGGTAAAGCATTATTTCAGTGAGTATACTTAATAAAACTAAAAGAAGCCATTAATGCTTATACTCCAAGAGTACTTCATATGAACCAAAAGAGTATTCTTATAAGTCACAACAAGTGGTAAGTGTGAAGTATCAGTTATGAATTACACTCCCGTCCAGCGAATCATCGATCGATCGGATGGGATATATTAGGGTTCTTTGAAGGGTGAAAAGAAAAAGTAGTAGTTAAGCGTAGGAGCGATGAGGCTCAACGCTCTATCTGCTGTTACATCTTACTTATTGAGCCTGCGTAATACTTTTTTTAAATTTTGGCCTTGGTTTAGCACCAGTCCTAGATAGTTTGATCGGATTAGGCCGAGTCAACTAGCGGTTTTTGAGGAACCCATAGTTCACGTTTGTTCCGTTGGCAGTGACTCTTTTCTCGCCCTTCAAGTAATTACAGTCAATTCATTGCTGTGTGCCATGTGTGAAGGCGAAAGGGTTATACAAAAAAAATGTTTACCAGTTCAGAGGTGCTACTCTTGTGATTAGTTAACTCCCCAACATTGATAAGCCTCCGGAAGTACACCGTTCGGTCAAGGCGCGAACGTTCTGTTCTTGTGGAACGGCATATTTGCTCGGCGAAGCGCCGCAGAATTACCTGTCGCTCAATTTCGCAATTTGCCGCGCGCGGGAAATTCGCAGAGTCATCCGGTGGTGCATTTTTTGTATTACGGCATGTGTTATATATATATGAATATATATATTCATATATTACCATTATCAATAATAATATTTTCAGTTACACAACGGATCCGGAGGTCACTCTTTCGTTATCGGAGATGGAGGTTCTCAATACAATTATAACGGAAAAATTGACAAGGTACGAACCAGTTAAATATCTGTTTCATTATTTTCTTCAAGTGATTATTTCATTATTCTTTACATCGACTTTACTCCTTATATGCGCAGTAATGCTCAATTACCGTTTTTGCTTCGGATCCTTGCAGCTTTTTCTTTCTATTTCGAAGTTTTTGGAATTTGTCTCGGCAGATCCGTCTTCCTGGATTTGTCCAGAAATTTAACTTCTCTAAAGATTTCGTAAAGCAAAAAGTAGCTGGTCAGAGAACATTCCACCACGTTCCGAAGCGTCACTCATAAAACTCGAAGGTTCACCTTTTCTCAAGCAGTGGAGGCGAGGCCAGGTTGCCAAAACGCTCAGCACAGTGACAGAAGGCCTTCTGGCCTTGAGAGTAAAGGAACCTGTAGGGGATGAATGAAGCGATGGGGAGAGCAATTTGTAATTGCTCTAGGCAGATGTCATTGTTAGATTTCCTGAAAATCTCTTCTACTTACTACTACAGTGCGCGTCAATTGTATATGCCATCCCCTATTTTTTCTTTTATCTGAGTTGTTAGGCAACATTGCGAGTTGAAATGTTGTCCAACACTTACTGAGTGAACAAGAGTCCAAAGTCTAAACATATTTGAACGCGGCGGTAGCGCCCTTTTTTGGCGGGAACGTGAAAATTAGCCGCGTCAATTGCTTATGCCATGCCGTCATTGCTACGAAATATCTCAGGTCCGCGCAGCCCTACCGCCTTCTGTCCAAAGCTGTCCTGTCCGCAATCCAAAGCAGTCCACCATGCCTAAGGGTCGTCGTCTATCTTCAACAGAACAATGCCAAATTCTGTCGCTTCGTCAAGCAGGCCATAGCAACAAGGCCATCGCGGAACAACTCGGCCGATCCAGACTCTG